AACAACAACCAACCAATAAGAAACCTCTTCAACCAACCAGCAATAGAAAGAAGACTAAACAGAATGTGGCCAGAGGATCTCATTAGATAAGCACCAGAGAATCATCGGAGGATGATACCTGCTTCAATATAACTCACACCCATCCCTTTGACTAATTACTCTATTTATGTATATTGAGTAGATTGTACAATTATTTTAAAATATAAAAAAATATTAGCATAAAAAAGGTCCCTGTAATGAACAGAATGCAAGAAATGTATGCATACAAATACTGGCAGTATTTACGAAGCGCCGTTCCGTATAGGCAACTTCTCCGACCTTGCGGAGAGGCGGAGCAGTCAGAATTTCAGGCGTCTCATTCGACATTCCCTTGAGCCTCATGTAAATCTGAACCGCTAGGAATAAAGTCTCAGAATAATGTGAACACAAACCGGAGGGTGAGTACAGCTGCTCAGAAATATTAAACTAACTAAGAAGCAACAATTAAATAAGAAAGAGACTAGAAAGGAACTAATTAAGCAACTACCAAAAATGAGAGCTCAGATTTCGGGTTGAGGCGGCAGTGACTATAAAGAATTCTGAGTTGTGATGACTCCGTTAGTCTGTTAGAAGTTTAACGACGTTTCGGAGAACACTCTCAATCTTCAGAGACGAGTAGCAAGCAAGCAGCGGCTGTCAATGTTGCCTGCTGCGTACTAGATTTCGGGAAGGAGACAGATTCATGTTGAGAAAAAGCATTCAAACGTCAACCACACTCCACGGCGTCACATCCCAGAAGATCAATGCCACGGAGTTTCATGTAAATTGATCAAACTGGGAACACTTTCCGACACTGATAACAGTAAGCTGTGACCGTCAGTGACTTCCCAAGTCCACTGGCATTCCAGGAATACAGAGCAGAAACAATGTTGCTAAGAGCTTGGATGTAATGATGAAAATATATAACAAGAAGTCCTGGGAAGAATTAATGACCTACTTTCCTTTAACACGACACAGACCGCATAGAAAAAGAAGTCTCCAACAATTCTTCGCTGCCGCGGGAAGGTCTTCACCGAGTCACAGAGTAGAGATGATAGGGGGATACACATACCGACACCCAGACTCTCCTTTGATACGACACGGACCGCACAGAAAAAGAAGTCTCCAACAATTCTTCGCTGCGGCGGGAAGGTCTTAACCGAGTCACAGAGTAGAGATGATAGGGGGATACACGTACCGACACCCAGACTCTCCTTTGATACGATACGGACCGCATAGAAAACCACTCTTCACATAATTCCCCTATTGTTGCGTATGTTCTTTGCCAAGGAAAAATGTTTACAGAGCCGTTGCCTAGCAACGATGGCGTATACACATACAGACACACACACTGATCAGAAGGATTTATGATATACTCCGTCGATATGGAATCAGATGTTGTGATATACACACCAATATTCATGAAGACTTCTTCAGGTATTCAAAATTTGGTGGAGGGGGATAGAAAGACACACAGACACACACGGAGAAACTGAAAGAGAAAAAAGTGATCGTATAATTTTAATTTTTCAAAATAAGAAAATCAGGCTAAAATCCATTTATTTTTATTCTTAACCTAAGTACTGTGGCTTCCTTCATGACTGGCGAACGGTTTTTTGAAAACCCCAGAAAAGTGTTTTGGTTTAGCACAGCCACGTGCAGCTGATCGGGCCAGGGAGATGTTCGGATTGCGAGAACAGCGTGACCACATGTACGAAAAAAGAGAGAAGTCTGGACCCTCTCCAGTGGATTTTCTTCCGTGCCTGGGTTATCTGAAATCAATGGAGTACGTGTCTCTCTAATTCTGCAGTAACCAAACCGCGGCGTGGAAAAGGAATTAACTGAAAGAATATGTATTCACGTCGAAGTTAAAAAGAATTCTAGAGTTTCATGCTTCTCTATTACAAATGCACAGAATCAATGTATTTTTCTCCGAGAAAATATTTCAATGCTTTCTAAATTTTCTTCATGATGCTTACAGCAGATGAAAAAATTGAGACTCAAAATATTTTCTTTCTCCTTAAAAATAAAATTCTTTCTTAAGTTTCGTTTTCTTGTTCTTTAAAGAAAGACTATCGTTCCCAGGTGACGCAGTTCAATTTACGTCGCAAACTAACGGGAGTTGGGGGGGGGAATTAAAGTGTGTCTGTCTGACGTCGCACGAATTGTTGGTGAGACATCACGAGAACGGGAGGGAGCAGTGAAGGAAGAATTAAAGTAAAACGCAGCCGTATGTTTAGACTTCAGTCTCATGTCCGGTCTACAAGAAATACAAGAAGATGGAATGAAAAACTTCTTGAAAACTTCAAACTTTATTTAACTTGAAAGCGTCATTATTATTTTTTCACACGACGCCATTGCTTCGATTCTAGGTCAAATTACATGCCATCCTACATTTTAGCTTATATTTTCTTGTGGGTTTATTTAATTCTATCTGTATAACTGGAAGCCCGTAGTAACCACTTCATCTTATCTTCAGGCTGACAGGAATATGGTATGCGACTATTTTAGCACCAAAACTCGTTCCTACATTTTACATACTGCCATTTGGCTGGCGGTAATAAACCATTTATGTTAACAGTACTGAATAATACAATATATTCAGCACTTAAGTGAATTCGCTTGTGCTTAGGAATGAAGAAAACGTATTTTAATTCACAGTACTATTACCAACAAAAGTTAAAAATTCCTTTAAAGAGATCTGAAATAGACCACCTGCCACAGCTGGCATTTCTTTCCTGACGAAGGTTACGATGACCATTATGACGTAGGACATATCAAGGCCATCTCTGGATTGAAGGAACATACCTTACCGTATTAGCATTACAAAACTCTTGATAGTTTTATTAATAAAGCATTATTATGTCAGAAGCGGCTGTCATATTGTTGCAATTTTTTTGTTGCTAGTGGGGTGGGACTAAGTCCCTTGTACTGCGGCCACTTCTGGCCTATTGTACCAGCCACAGATGATAGGTGAGGGTGATTGTGGAGCAATTGGTGGAATGAAGATTGGCAGGAGAAACCGAAGTACTCGGAGAAAACCTGCCACAATAATATAACTCGAAAGGGCGTAATGCTTAATGTAAAAGCTAAAGTTATCGTGTGCTTAATTAATTAAGCATCATGCCATGAAGACATAGGGCGGAGTGGACATATAGCTCCACAGTTCTTGACTTCTGCAGTATATGGCAGTGAGGAGTCAGCCTTACGCTCCCGGAACTACACGGATTTATACAGTTTCTAGTTTATTAAGCTTCCTTAAGTCGGAGCAATAATATAAAATTGCTGAACGTCATGGAATTAAAAAAAATGTGTGAAACAAT